ATATATATTTAACTTAATTTAACTAAAACAATTGCAATAAATGTGCAGCATTTCCCAGTGCTTAGCTATTAAAGGTTTGTTGAATATTAAGTTGAACAAATTAGGCTTAAGTTATTTATTTGAATTATTTATTTTATTCGTATATTATATGAGATATAATAAAAAAATCGAAAATATTTTCTAATGTTATTTTCTAAATATATTTTAATTTACTCATTTTTTACTTAAAAAATGGAAGAAATTTTTTAGGCTTATATTATTTTCCTTGATGCTTACAAATATCTCTGAAGCCTGAAGTCTATCATATATCTTAAAACTCATCTCTTCAACAAATTTTTCTGATCAAAAATATTTGAAAATTTTATTATTCAGTATTATATTTAAATAATGTGTTTTCAATGGAACTTGAATCTGTCATTCAATGAATGGGTGTTCACTTCCTGTCGCCTCTGGCATTACAATGGACAGATAGAAAATTTGCAAACTGGCACACGCTGTTTTGATTGCAGAATGCGGTCAAATCTATCTGGAATTTGTTGTTGGATTTGTTTCGAAATTTCACCAATGTGGCCGTGCGCTTGTTTCTAATTTGTGGCCCAATTCTAGATCGTAGCACTGCTCCGTAATACCAAATAGGTGCGACGTGCTCCAATGGGTGTTCCCGTGTATCGGCCAGCGCCACGGAACGCAGCTGGATGTCAACTCAACAATTTTTTTGCGAAGCGTGCTTTAAATATTGAATATAGGAAATTTTTAGCTCTTTTATATTTTGGTGTTTTTTTTTTTTTTGGGGTAGTGGCAAAATGTTGGCAATTAAATTTGTGTTTGACAAACGTCAAATGAGCTACGAGTGTAAGCAATTTATGGCTAATAAATTGACGACATATTAATTGATGAATGGCTGGCTACCTGTACATCCAGGTAATAAATTGATTGACAACGACCGCCTGTGAAAATTCGAAAGACGCTCTGGAAAAAAAGAAAGTGAACAAAGGTCCAGCTGTGACTTTTGATTGGTTGGTTGGGTTCAGGCATTCAGACACGTTTGATATTGACCTTGTTTAAAGCACCGAGAGTCTTCGGACTTCGCTCCGTGCACTAATTGAAAGAAAAGCTCGACATTAGGCATTAACATGCAACAGACGGCGGGGGCAGCATGGGGCGGCATGAAAAGCGAATTGACATGCTGCAACATGCGCATTATCTAGAGGCAAACATCTACAAAATATATACAGAAACTCCACAAAGAAAAAGTCTTATCATTAGCAAAATACAAAATCAATGAAATTGGCCATAAAAATTCGATTGGCCCTTGGCAAGGGGCAGCTGCGATGCGTGGGAGTCTCGCCGGTCGAGGTGTCTGCAAACGTGTGCCACATAATTGATGTTGATCAGAGTAAAGTCAATTGACGACAATTGGACAATATCGGACAATCGGACAGTCAAACAGTTGGACGGACAGAAATAGTTTAGTTTTCAGCACTTTCTAAACTTAACGCCCACAATACATTGTATTGACAGTTGGGCTGGGTGGGTGTGGCTGTGTCGCCCATACATCATGCTGATATCAATCAGCAATACAGCAAAACAGAAATCTGTGCGTTCTCGCTGCTTTGCCAAAAATCCAACACTCAATTGAAATTCTCGGGGCAGCCTGTTTTTGGCAAGTCTGCCATGGATGTCGGTGAATTAACGGTTAACCCTCTGCAACTGTTCTCCCTCTCTTTTTATCACTCTTTCTCCCTCGCTCGCGACATCAAAAAAGAACAGGAGCAAGAAGGTTGCCAGTGCCTGACTAGAGGATACCCTTGCAGCTGGTGTAGTAGCTGTGATAGGAAAAGGGATTTAGAGAGATATTATTGTTATATAAAGCGATTATTATTTATCTTATTGAATGAGTCAGAAAATGAGCGTATTTAATGTCGCCTCAAAATTCGCGATTTCCCTAGTGTTTTTTTTCCCATTTTCAGATTTTTTTAATAAGCTCGCTAACATCATATAACATATATATATTATTTAACATAGGGTATATCTGAGTTGATATGTCTCTACCTGCATATATGCAGAGGAATACATTTGAATTCCAAGCAGCTTTTCATTCAGATCAGACCTAAATATCTATGAGGTTAGCTGGCTGGCTGTCTTTATATMATTAATTAGCTCTTAAATGTCGTTCACTTTCTACCTTCTCTTCTATGCACATTGGATTTCCCTCTCAGTTCTTTCCTTCAATAGAGAATGGGTATATACACTCTGGCAGCTAGAACCTTTTTCTTATTGTGCCTCGGCGGGTCAAGTGTGCAAAATTTCTAAGCGCGTCGTTTGCTGGCTCCACTGCTCCACTAAACGACAGCCGGCGACGTGTGGCTGTCAGTAGGGCCATCAAGTTGGGCGATTTGATGTGCTCGCCACAATTGAATTAAATTTAAGTGGCGCACTAGAAAGTGCGACTGCATCACGTATACGCACTGCACGACGGCTGCGTTCTCCAAAGGGCTTGGGTGGGTGAGCGTGTGTTTAGAGTGGCCACTGGTGGGTTGGTGTGCTGCTGGCTGGCCCACGTGTCGTCAAATTTAAAAAATGCTCATGATATTTCCAATGCACTATCATTTGCATTTTAGAAAGTTACACGTGTTTCTCGTTGCATTAAGGTGAAATAATCAAAATGAAAGAAAATCAAAAACAAAAACAACAACAAAAGCCAGAAAGGAAAAGTCAAAGTCTAAAATTAAGCTGCTAATTTCAATGGACTTTAAATAATGACCAAGTCTGACTCGGGCCTGCCTCCCGCTAGCTCCCACTAATTCTATTCATAATTCCATTATCATAATTCCAGTCATGTTTTCTCAACCAGCTTAATGTAGAATTCTCTTTTTTTTTTTTTTTTGCTCAACACGTCGCGCTGTTGCCAACGGCTTTATCTTTGCACACGTTTAGTGGTCCGTCCCCTTGTCTTTTGCTTCCTTCAGTGCGAGGCGAGTCGAGTCGAAATGCATTTTTAAAGTCATTTCTGTTGCCATGTGCGCGAAAAAAATGCATGTAGGCATTTTAATGCACATGCGCGCAGGGCTAACAACTACTTATCAGCAATTTAGCTGCCCATATGCCATCTAAGGCCGGGATATAATGACATACATATATATACAAACATACAGCTATACAGCCATAAATCTTCTATGAAAGTCAGTTGTGCTTGACACGTTCCATTGCTGCCTTGGCTTAGACTAAAGTTAGAAGCTCGTTAATAGACATTAAATATGTGGCCAATGAAAGTTGATTAGTATTTGACTTTTATGTACATAACTTAGTCCGAGAGTTATGTTTGTGAATTGGAGACAGCTGTGGAGTGGCTGAGGGAGCCATTGCTACAGAGTGCCTCTTACAAAGTAGATGAATAGCAAGAGAAGTAAAGCATAAGCTGAATACTAAGGAATTGCAGTCTAATAAGAAATTGTTTTACTATTAAATGCAGGAGTATTATCTATGTTATATATTATCTATTTTAGCACTTCTAAGTTCCCTTATTCCATATATCAATTTCCTCTTACACCCTAAATTCCTTCGAATATTGCTTTGTTAGCTTTGCAGACTTCTAGAAAACTTCTAAGTAACTTAATGTGCATGGTGGATAGTCTCCGATTACTAAGAAATTGGTTAGCCATAAGTACGCCGTACTGGCTGCCTCTTGTCGGAGATTAAGCTCGAAAGATTGTCGGAGGAGAGGCAGAAAGACAGAGTGAGACACAGCGACGACAAGACGACGTGAGATTGCAATTTTATGTGTACCAAGTGGGGCTTTAACTTAAACTTTAGAGGTGCGTGCTTCTCAGTAGACTCCAACAGTCGCAAAATATAATAAATAAAAATTCATTGGGGTTCAATGGCAGAAGAAGAGATGGCAAAGGATTATGCAACAAACGAAATATCATCATATAGTTGGGTTGCTTTCAAAACAAGCGACGCTTATTAGGGCGCATTAATAATTTAGAATGGTCTGCTACCATTTCGCCTGTGGGGGCTGGCTTCACG